GTCTTTATCTTGTTTTCTTAATGGCCAAGTTTCTGCACCGGTGAGCAGGACTGGCCGAACTATCGCGGCATACACTCGACCCTTCACAGACAGCCGGATGTCGCGACGGGGCCACAGATGTCTCAAGTTGGCAACTGCCAACCGAGCCTTCTGTATGCGAGCTGACATTTCATCCGTGATGTGTCCACCGGGTGAGATGTAGCTGCCCAAATAACAAGACTTATCCACCTGCTCTATTACTTCCCCAGTTAGAGTGAGGTTCGGTGCTGGACCTACCCAGTCTTGTAGTAACATTTTACACTTTGAAGGTGCAAAACGCATATCAACTAAAACAATTCTATCAACTCCACTGTAGCGGGACAAGCGTTTAAGGGATCTCGAACATAAAGAATTCTTTTCCTTCAGTTCAGGGATACAAATCGGGAAGCAGTTTAGGCAATGTGGAATAATGCAGGTAATCACAAATTTAGGAATAAGATTGTGGTACGGCCAGATTTCTGAGCCTGTAAGCATAGAAAGACAGTTTTCGAACTTTTCTGACAACGTTGATCATATGAGCAGACCAGAACAGGTTATGGGTAAGGGTGACACCAAGGTATTTAACGGATACAGATTTTGGAATACTTTGATTGTTAACTCTAAGATCAGAAAGATATATATATATATGCCACCGGCTTGTAGACAAGCATGGTGTCAACGCAACAACCATGAAAGGGGACAGGTGGATTGGAGTACAAAACAGGGTGAAAAGGGGATGAAACAGTTGCACACGGGAAAATGGAATATATATGGAATAACAAACCTTTTTTGTGTAGTTCACCGTACACCTTTTGCTATTTTTTGTTGTTGTTTTTTACGGGGCACAGGATTTCGACAGGCAGATCGTACAGCATTCGCGCCACTGAAATCTATTCTGGGCCATACCCCTCAGCGTCTCTAACTAACGACAATCCTCATCCCGTGGGCCCCAACCTGGAAGGCAGGCTGCAACAAATGAAGCCAGCTTCTTCATGCCTCTTGCTCATGTCATGATATGACCGCCGTG